ATTCAGCAGGCAGCAGAGTTCCGGCTTTGAGCATGACATTAATGTGGAAGAAAGACACTGTGAATATCTCTGACTTGACATGTTTTTTTGTGGTTTTTGATGACCAGCAGTTAATTTTTGTGATGCCAGACATCTAATCTGACAACTACATGTGCTCTTTTTGCGCTATAACAATGCACCATATGCTATAGTAAAACGCACCATGATATATTCTAACATGCACAAATATTTCTGTGTTATAAAACGTCTGCATACCTGTAAAATACACCAACCACACAAGTAAACACACACCATTGATATTTATTATAATCAATTTACATGATTCAGTATACACTATTCTGACTGTAATATACACTACATTCAAAACCATAATACATGGTTGAATATATATAAATATGCACCACTATATGACTGAAAACGCACCACTGTCTATTATAAAATGCACAATACCAACCACACTCCAAAAAATCTGATTCTGTGTTATGAATCATCTGCATACCTTTAAATACACCAATCACACATATAAAACACACCACAATCACACATGTAATTCAGAATACACTATAAAATACACCAAATTGTGTGTCAAAACGGACCGTTATGTATTGTAAAACGCACAATTCCACAATGTCTACAAAATCCGAATTCTTTGTGTTATAAAATGTCTACACAACTGTAAAAACATCAAATTCCACAATACAAACCAACTAAGAAAACAACACAAAACTCTAGCCATTTAATGGGCACGTCCTACTATTATGGCCATATTCATCACAAGTATGACATTTCCTTGATTGCTTTACGCACTTATTCACAGCTTTCTCCCTTGCACTCTTCATCTGCTTCCCGCCGCCCTTGTTCTTAGCTTTAATTGGATCACGCACCTCCACTGTTGACCCCTGAGACACATCACCACAAAATGATTTAATCACACTTTCTTTGCTGCTACCAGCTACCCCATTGTTATCCTCACACCCATCTTTGATAAAGAACTCCCTTTGCTCACAAATAACACGTCTTAGTTTTTCCAACCGTTCTACATTACCATCAGCCAATCCCACGCAAGCATAAATTTCAGACCACATTAGATTAGTAAGCACCCTAACATTGTCCACTTTAGCCGATTGGTCAACAACCGTATCATCAATATCAAATATTGGCTTCAAACTAGCACCTTTTGTCCACCGAGACACCAAATACATAGAAGGAATTCTCTCAAGTCCATGATCTTTAAACACAAAAAAAATATGCCTACACACCAACCCCATCCGCTCAAACATCTTGCATGAACATATAGCACTACAGTCAGCCAACAAAAACTCCACAGACCATGCCTTCTTGTCACCATCTTTTATCCCATAGCACACCTTACCCTCGCACTCACACAAAGACACCACTCGACAAGAAAAACAACCTTCACAAATCTCTACTTGCACATCATAAAATACAGAAATGGTATAGACATCCATTGCATGTTTCTCCAGCGCCAATGGAGTCTTCAAAACAGGAAAGCATGATTCAGAGTCAGCAGTCAATTTTGCTTGGGCATGTCGTTGTGCACTAATAGCACTATCAAAATGCACCAAAAACTCAACCAAACTGGAATGACCATTGGAGAAACTGCCAAAAAAACTATTTTGAGACTCTGATCGAGATGTTGTCCTAACAAATCCCGACATAAACTCATCATGAAAGTATGGAGATGCCCAAAATGTACGAGACTCAAACAAGTAACGAAACCAACCATTATCACCCAAACCATATTCCTCTATAATACGACTCCATAAATCCTCAAAAGTTTTGGAATCTATAGATTTGTTCCAAACAATGCCATTCAACTTCCTCCTAAACACCTCGTCCTTAGCTAAAACCGGTCCAACCTTCTCGCCAACCTTGCACATTATATGCCACATGCAGAATCTATGTTTTGATGTACCAAACACACGAGCAACTGCAATCTTGATAGCTGGATCTTGGTCAGTAACGACACAAATAGGTTCATGACGCATGGTTTTCTTAAATCTCTCCAAAAGCCAAACATATGAGTCTACGTCTTCCCTCGTAAGTAAACCAGCACCAAATGTGATGGATCTCTTATGGTTATCAATTCCAGTAAATGGGACAAACACCAAATTATACCTACATAATGCACAACCCAATAACTACTGAATATACTAAATATAACAAAACACACTATTTGAAATCAAAATATGCACCAATATATTATACATAATACACAATAACTATAAATTACTAACCTGTTAGATCGGTATGTAGCATCGAATAAAACAACATCACCAAACAATGCAAAGTTCTTCCTTGATACTGCATCTGCCCAAAAAACCCTTGTAAGCTGATCAACATCATCAACGTCATATTCAAACTCGAAAGCCTCACACAATTCACGCCTTTTAAAAAGCGTATCTATGAATAGTTGAGCATCACCATTCAATATGTATGCCATCAAATCACGCTTGAAATTCTTAAAATCCACCCCAGTAGCCCCAACATTGGAATACTCACCAACAATCTCCTTAAACAGCTTATACGATCGAACATACCCAATATTTGCCCGAACACAACTTGCAATGAACATTTGATGGCCAGTATCAAGACTACGATTCACCTTTAAAAACTGCTTAGCAATAATTGAACACATCACATGAGTGTGTCGTTCCTCCAAAAAATGCACAACAAACAGTCCATTAAACTTACGCTTAAACACCACTCTAGTCTTGCAGCCAACCCTATTTGTCACCCTCCGTCTCTTCACAACAATAGGCTTACCATCACCAACACACGTAGATTGAGTACTATAAATACTCTGTTTAAACCCCTCTCGGCTACAAAATACCTGTCTCTCCACAACAACACCATCCCTCCTCCTCCGAATTGTACCCTTTCTACAATCAAAACCAACATACCCAGCATACTGTTTATAAAAAACAATAGCACAATCCAATGAATCAAACGTTTGCCCCACCATAGGCTTCAAACTATCAGTGCAAACTGGACGCCAATACTTAGTCAACCCAGGAGACGTTTCCAAAACACATGCATTGTCTTCCGCCTCAACATCAGTCAAACAGTGTTCACTGGCACCCTGACCACTAGTCTCTACAGCAACATCAGTTGAATTCCCTTCATCACACTGACTCCCACTTCCTTCTACGCAACCATCAATATGACCACCATCAGTGGAATGCTCTGTATTGCATACACCACCACTGCCTTCTACACCGGCATCAATTGACGTATCTTTATCACAAACGAAGCCCACCGGGTCCATAATAATAGCTGCACACCATGTATATATAATAACACACTAAAATAACCAATGCATGACATTTGGTAACTACAAAACACATAAAATACTATACTACTTAATATGCACCACAATCATGCAACTTTCACACTATATTAACACAATAACACACAACATCGTAACAACAACAGTGACTTATCTCACCACCAGAAAAATATCAAACCAGATAAAAAAACGCTATACTACATTAATATGCACCACGATGATTCAAATTTCGCACTGTATTCACGCATTAACGCACAACGTCGTACAGCAACATCGACTTATCTCACCCCCAAGAACAATATCAATCCATATAAAACCGATATAACACATCCATGACATAACAAACGGATATTATTATGATCAAAATAAAACTACAAACGTCAATACATCAATACATACCATTCTCCATCGCACAAACTGCCCGGTATACTCAGATTGCCCTACCAACTGATCTCCGGCGACCTTCTCCGATTTGCGAACCGATCGCGATCTTGAACTTCCCGAAATTGCGATGTGATCGCTATCTTGATCTTCTCTTCACCAAGTTGCCGATTCTCTCTGAGTTTACATATATAGAACAGAATAGAATAGAAATTACCTTATATACATTCCCGTAACCATGTAAATGAAATTACATAACTACCCCCACTTACCAAAACGCGAACAACTCTTCCTTATTTTTGAAAATACGCCTCTGCCGTTAGATTGCCTTGATCCAACGGTTCAAATATAACCACACTGCCACACCTAACTACACTGCCACATTTGAGCATTATTCTATATATATATATATATATATATATATATATATATATATATATATATATATATATATATATATATATATATATATATATATATATATATATATATATATATATATATATATATATATATATATATATATATATATCTTTTCTAAAGAAAAATTTTATAATTTTAATTAATTTTTTAATAATTTGTAAAGAAATTTTTAATAATTTATAATTTTGATTTTTTTTATGTTACTGATTAACTTTTTATAATCAAAATAACGATTGATATGAGACCATAATATTATACTTAAATTTTTTATACAGTGTATCGCACGGGTAAAATACTAGTAACATTTTAATACAAGAATCATATATTTCACTAACTCATTCACCCTTTTTTAGCAAAAAATAAAAAATAAAAATAAAAATATAATAATTATTGTTTAGCCATTAGCCAAAAAAGGGACAACACACGATGATGAATAATGAATTGATGACTATTGATTCCAGGAATCTACCTAAGCCGGGTCTTCGTCTTAAAAGTCAACTTTGAATTACATTAAATTTTATTTTTCTCCAAATTTAGGGAAACAAACAAATTAAAATAATTTTTTTAAAAAAAAATTAAATTGCATGAAAAACTGAAAATTATTGTGTTAGTAATTACTGTTTGAAATTAAAGAATTATTACTGTTTGAATGCTACTGACTCTATTACAATTTAGTATCAGTTCATAAACTACTTTATCAACATACTGAAGCATAAAGAGTCAATGCCGCCTCCACTGAAACATGAATTTCAAAGAACATTGCTCATTTAATTTGTTCTCTCCCTCATCTCTCTCTCTCTATATATATATACGACTTCTCTTTCTTTGTTTCTGTTAAACATCTTTCTCACCTTTTTTTATAAAAGAGGGAGGAGTAAAACCAGGATTAATAACTAATCCTCACAATATTTGTGCCGCCCAAGAGACCAAGTTCATCTTCTCTTAAGGCTTCAAGAGCTGTTCCAGGGGGGTGCTCAAACCAACGGAAGGCTTCATTATGCTCATGAGCTTTCTTAGCCAGAATGTCGGCCACCTTGTTCTTCTCACGTGGTGCATAAATGAATGCAACCTCCCAGTGTCTTCTCTTTGCCTCTCTGCATTTCTCAATGAGGTTAGAAGCAGGGCCTCCATAATCGTTGCAGTTGTTGAGGATGGAAGTTGCCTTCGCACAATCTGACTCAATGACCAACTTCCGGAATCCCATCTCCCATGCTTTTTCCATTCCAGTATAGATTCCCCAACACTCGGCTTCCATGGCGCTGCAAGCACCAATCGCACCTTTCTTTGTTTCTGTTAAACATCTTTCTCACCTTTCACACCCTATATCCAGTACACCAAATTGGCGCCAAGAAATAAGCTAAGAAGATTGAAGATTAAAACTAACATCACAGAAATATGAAGTTTTCTTGCCCAGTTTTGAAGTGTTTCGGCTCTGCATCAGAAAGGTCAGAGGAGAGAGAAAGCCGACATGGTAAACACACACTTCAAATTAGAACTCCCTTTTGTTAATTTCTGTCTGGTTTTTGAAGCAAATGAGGTTTTAATGTCTGGGTACGAAACAGGAGAAGGAAACGGGGAGAGTTTCGGATATTTTCATACGAGGAGCTGAGATCTGCGACTCAAGGGTTCAGATCATACTGCAAGATTGAGGAGGGGGGATTTGGCATTGTGTACAAGGTGATTGAGACACGGTTTTCATCATTATTATTTATTAATTCATTATCCACTTGCAGGTTGGAGCAATTTTATAATGTTTCTCCATAGAACACGGATGATGATTGACAGACAACCTTGATTTTCTGGGTTTTTGTCATCTGCAGGGTCGACTTTTTCAGCAAATGCTAACCCTGTACCAGTGTACCACATTCTGTTAATTAACATAGACAATAAGTTGTACTCAAAAACTAAAAACAAATATAAAGGGAATACATTTCAGTCAACATATTGCATCAGATTGTTCACTGGCTCAAAATTCAGCTCACCTCAGTAGTTATACACAGCCTTATTTACTTACCTACTATAATTGTTGAATAATAAGCCTATCATATCTCTCAAGAGGGTGAAATGAACCATTATCCATTTTTTCCTACACTGGAGAAAGGTTTTAGCTAATATTTTACAGATTATTACTTAAGCTTGTTAACAGAGGAAATCTCGTGCCAAAAAGTAATAAATTTTCACTAATAAAGTGGCAATACCAAAATGCAGTCATATAACTGTAATATAAACACATCAAGTCCAAACACTTTTAGTATGTGACTAGTCATAACAACAACAAAGGCATAGATAAAGACCACCCTCTTCCTCTTTGATCCTAAAATCTGAATCACAGTTACCAGTACTACTGCTATTTACCAATCTTTTATCTGTATCTTAAGTATTCAACCTTTTAATGTGAGATTGGACAGAAATATTCCCCTTAAATGAAGCACTTGTTTGGATTGCACTGAGATTATTACAAATTTACAATACCTCACTACTTTGCAAGTAATGGATTTAGTTATCTATTTATTTTTTACTAAATCCTTCTGATTACAAAATTCATTATTAACAAAAAGCTGTCCTTTTATTGTATGTTTTGAATTAAAATCCCTACTTTTTGAACTATGTTGCCATGCCTACTTTTTGAAAAACCGACAATTGGTTTCGGTCAGTTATATGGGTTACCAAAAACCCTAAAGATTAACAAATTATCTGTTGACTCAAAGTGTTTTGTCAAAGTTATGTGCAAAAGGAATACCAGATCTATAAAGGAATACCAAGCCTAAGAGGAGTAGTTATTGAAGAGTACTAGTTCTAAAGGGAATTGTTATTGAAGTGTTTAGTTCTAGTCTGATTAGGAATAGCTTTATTATTCACGAATCTGTTAGGAATAGCTACTATAAATAGGGGTTGTCCTTTCTTGTAAAACTCAAGCATTCAACATTAATCTGGTGAGGTACGAGAGTCTTTGAGAATAGGATACTAAATTTCCCTAGAAAGTAGTACATGTGTTTAGGTTTCAATAGTTTGGTAGGAAAGATCATTCTATTGTGTAATCTCAGGTTCCAAACAGTGTACTTTAAATATTGAGCTTTTAGTGGATTTAGGCAAGTTCTCAAATTGAGAAGTGCCTCGCAGATTAGGGTTGTTTGCCCGAACTGCGTTACAGATCGTTTGTGTTACAACGTCAGTTTCAACATCATTGTGTGCTGCTGTTATGTTTTCGGGTGAAAGCACGCGTCAAAGGGCGAGTAGGGTTATTGGGGTTGTCTATGTTGAGAGATAAATATAAGGAACAAAGATAATAGGAACGTTTTGAGAGTTTTCCCACCTCTTGATTTTAACTTAACTTCTTTCTTGCTTGTCCTTTTATTAGAATGAAAATCCCCTTTATATAAGAGGGTTACAAAGACTAGTAAAACATAAAAAGGAAAGGAAGACTAGCAAAAACATAAAAAGGAAAGGAGAATCACTAAAGATCCTTACCCTAATTATTTGCTATCTCTAAAGGAAATAAATCAATTCTAATAGTAAAGATAATAAATCAGTTATAATAATAAAGATATTCCCTTAATCATCATATCATTACTCCCCTCTTGGACATCAAGCTTGTCCTCAAGCTTGAAATCTAGAAAAGTGGGAATTGATTAGTCTGGGGTCGTTGCGTCAATTGGCTCATCGTCCCCTTCGCCATTAAAGCCAAGCATGTATAGTTGTTGTTTGCAACGATGGCCCTTTACCCATGGTTCATCACAATTATAGCAGAGGCCACGCTTTTGGCGCTCTATCATTTCTGTCGGGGAGAGTTTATGGAACTGAGGGCGTGATTGTGGCTGTTGGTGCACTGTTATGGCGCAACTAGGGGGTGTTTGGGATGGGAAAGTTTGTCGGGGAGGTGCATTGTGAAGCAGGAGGCCTTTACGAGCATAATCTCGTGCTATGTTAATGGCCTCATCAAGAGAAACTGGCCGCATCCTTTCAACATCTATACGTAGAACCTCATCAAGGCCGGCTGTGAACAGATTGACTTGTTGAGAATAAAGGACGTTGTCAGCTCTAGCGAGGAGGGTCTGGAAATCATCTATGAATTCGTCTAAATCCCGACCATGTTGTTTGAGGTTTGCCAGTTCACCTAACGGGTTGATGCTCCGGGGTGGTCCAAAACGGAGGGTGCATGCACCTTTGAATTGATTCCAAGAAAATTGTTGACCATCCTGCATGCGACGTTTGTACCACAGTTGGGCGCTATCGAACAGATAATACGCTGCTGTGGTAACCTTCTCATGATCAGAATGCGGTGATTTATCAAAGAACAACTCACAGCGATGGAGCCAAACAAGAGGGTCCCCTTTGCCATCAAAAGTGGGGAACTCCAATCTGGTGAATCGTGTAGCCGGAATGGGAGCAGCTGGCTGCGGCAGTGCAGTCTCCGGAGTGGCTTGGTTGCCATGAGAGGCTGCCACAGTTGTGGAAGTGGTGGCCTGCGATGTGAAGAAAGAGTGCACCATCTGGGAGAGATTGGTTACTGTTTCGGTTAGAGAGTCCACAGCTGCAGGAAGGTGTTCCAGTTTTTCGATGGATGCCTGGATAGCTCGGACCTCGTCCTGGAGTTTCTTGATATCGCCCATATTGACGCCCGGCAACGGAACCAAAATGTTATGTTTTCGGGTGAAAGCACGCGTCAAAGGGCGAGTAGGGTTATTGGGGTTGTCTATGTTGAGAGATAAATATAAGGAACAAAGATAATAGGAACGTTTTGAGAGTTTTCCCACCTCTTGATTTTAACTTAACTTCTTTCTTGCTTGTCCTTTTATTAGAATGAAAATCCCCTTTATATAAGAGGGTTACAAAGACTAGTAAAACATAAAAAGGAAAGGAAGACTAGCAAAAACATAAAAAGGAAAGGAGAATCACTAAAGATCCTTACCCTAATTATTTGCTATCTCTAAAGGAAATAAATCAATTCTAATAGTAAAGATAATAAATCAGTTATAATAATAAAGATATTCCCTTAATCATCATATCAGCTGCGCTAATATATATTTAAATTGGTATCAGAGCCAAACTGCTTAAGTTATTAGCAGGATCCTAATGGAGTTTCCCAGAGAAGGACTGTCAAACACTAGGCCACCTGCCCTCATTGGCACGAATTTTTCCTACTGGAAAGCCAGAATGCAAATATACATCTTGGCACAAGGAGAAGGTGTCTGGAATGCTATAGAAAACGAATGGAAAACTCCCGTTGATGATAAAGGAAACATAAAACCTAAAATTGACTGGAGTGAAGAAGAAAAAACAGAATATAACTTCAACTCGAAGGCAATGAATGCAATCTATGGAGCTGTGAGCGAAGATACCTTCAAACTGATTGCCTCTACTCGCATAGCCAAAATTGCGTGGAGTATATTGTGCGATCATCATGAGGGAAACACAACTGTAAGACAATCTAAGCTTCAGATGATACAAACTGAATTTGAAAACCTGAAAATGGAAGAGGAAGAAAGCATCACCCAATTCAGTGCCAGAGTTTTAAGTATATCCGGAGATGCATTCAACTTAGGCGAACCTATACCCGAAACATAGGATCGTCAAAAAGGTACTACGCTCACTACCCGGAAGATTCCAAATGAAAGTCACCGCTATTCAAGAACATAAAGATCTAAACACCTACAAACTGAGTGATCTAATGGGAAATCTTCAAACATATGAGCTTGAGATACTGCAAAAAGGGAAAGATAATGACAAAGGAATTGCGTTCCAATCAAAGCAGAAAGGAAGTCCAGAAATTGATACTGAAACCATGGAACAATCAATTGCTCTCCTAACAAAGAATTTCAACAGAGTTCTCAAACAATTTAACAAATTTAGAAACAAAAGTGCTTCAATCAATCAAGGGGACTTCCCAACTGGACAAAATCAATCTATTTCAAAAAGAAGAGACAGTTCAAATACAGAAGGAATACAGTGCTATGAATGCAAAGGTTTTGGACACATCCAATCAGAATGTGCCACATACTTGAAAAGGAAAAATAAAACATATATATCAACCCTAAGCGACGACTCAGATAGTGAAGAAGATGATAGCAACACAAATTTCGTAGCCTTCACCGCTAGCCATGAAAGCAACAATAGCGATGACATGCAAGAGTTACTAGAGGCATACACTCAACTAAATGCCAAGTGGGAGCAAATCATCAAGAAAAATTTGGAACTCATGGAAGATAATCACTATTTGAAGAATGAAAAAGAACGAATAGAGAAACAATACAAAGAAGCTCAAAACGAACTATTAGACTTCAAAAACAAAGAAGCTAAACTTCTACAAGAAATCAAGGAGCTTACCGAAAGACCCAGGACTCCAAGCACAGACACTAGTGAGAATCATCAAACCGAGACACAGGAAGTGTCACAACAGCACTTCCGACACCGAAGAAGAATAAGGTGCTACTATTGCCGCAAACTAGGACACATCAAAACTCACTGCTACAAGAGACAGAATGATCTTTACTATAGACAAAACAACAGAGTGTGGCCAACACAGAACAGAAATAATAGTAAGAAAATCTGGGTAAGAAAAGACCAAAATGTTGCATATACCTCCAAAACAAACAAAGAGCAAGATATATGGTACTTTGACAGCGGATGTTCAAGGCATATGACTGGAAATTCAGAAAATCTTGAGAACATCCAGTACAAAAATGAAGGGCATGTCACTTTTGGAGACGGTGGAAAAGGACAAATTATTGCAAATGGTACCTTGAATGTCCATGGGCTGCCTAAGTTGTCAAAAGTCCTTTTAGTACAAAGCTTAAAAGCAAATCTAATCAGCATAAGTCAGCTTTGTGAAGATGAACTCAAAGTAGAGTTCTCTAGAGAGAGTTGCAATGTGTTTAATCAGAATCATGATTGTGTCATGATGGGAAAAAGGTCTACAAACAAATGCTACACATGGGATAGTGATCTATCCGGTTTACAGACAACCATCAGTCAAACACAATTATGGCACCAACGTATGGGACACATAAATTTTCATGACCAAGGAGTATCCCCAGGCTATTCATCAAATAGTGTGATCATTGATGATGTAACTCCAGCAATAACCACTGATGATGACAAAAGTCCAAGAGTTGTTGAAACAACTGTTCCAACACCTCTGACTAATGATATGCAGAATTGCAGAACAGAAACAAAGCCAAATGAAGAAAAGGATAAAAGTCATCCTACTGTCTTAAAAAATCAGAAAAATCATCCTTTGGAAAATATCATGGGAGATCTCAATCAAAGAATAAAGACTAGAGGAAAGAAACAAGATTTCCACAAAATAAAAGGAGTATACTGCCACACCTCCAAGTTTGATCCCAAAAAACATTGATGAAGCCTTAAACTGTAACAGATATACATGATTGGGGTATAAAGTTGAGCTATGACATATGTGAACAAAATATGAAGTTTGGATTGCACTTACAATGACTCCGAAATTCTGTCGAACAGTTGAGGCGCACCCAAATGCGAGAGGGGTTTGTATAAATGAATACAAGTACGAAACTAATTTCCAATCAAAACCCGTTACTGTCCGGTTATTATAATAATCTCCATGGAAGCCAATGACATGAGTCTTCGGGTGACTTCATTTTCTTGCTACTTCAGAAGAGAGCCTGGTGCGAAGGATCACCAGAAAATCAAAGAAGACGGGGAAATCAGCATCTTCAATGTATCTACCATGGATGAGCACGTCAGAACGGCTCCTCCGCCGTTTGATGACGGCGGTTACGGCGGATACGCGCCACCGTACCAATCAGCCGGGGGATTTCCGGGAGAGTACGATGAAGTGACAGTTGAGCACTTTCCTCAATCCGTCCACAGTCCCGATCCCTATGGATTCGGGTCGGATCCGCACCCAGCTTTCGAATCCTCTACCGTTCCGGTTTCAAACGGCAATGGAAATCCATATGATCTCGGAGAAGATTCCACCAGAATATTCATCTCTGATGGCCCGGTGCTTCCTCTTCCAAATGAAATGCATGATGCGGGCTTTGCCCTGCGTGAATGGCGAAATTTGATTTACAGATCCAAAACCACTTGAACTTATCTATGATCAAATCCTCTACTTTTGTGACTGTGTGGATCTACTTTACCACACATTGGTAAAATGTACAGAGACAGTGAAGAATTCTCTTCACTCACACATTCAAATACAAGTATCAAGTTTTTTTTTCCAAGAACTCCAGGAATCAAGTTTAGGGAGAGAAGAATCAACTAAGGGGGAGAAGAATAGGAAATCAAGCCACTATGAGATCAAGGTTTTTGCCAAAAATTTGACAAAGGGGGAGATTGTTGACTCAAAGTGTTTTGTCAAAGTTATGTGCAAAAGGAATACCAGATCTATAAAGGAATACCAAGCCTAAGAGGAGTAGTTATTGAAGAGTACTAGTTCTAAAGGGAATTGTTATTGAAGTGTTTAGTTCTAGTCTGATTAGGAATAGCTTTATTATTCACGAATCTGTTAGGAATAGCTACTATAAATAGGGGTTGTCCTTTCTTGTAAAACTCAAGCATTCAACATTAATCTGGTGAGGTACGAGAGTCTTTGAGAATAGGATACTAAATTCCCCTAGAAAGTAGTACATGTGTTTAGGTTTCAATAGTTTGGTGGGAAAGATCATTCTATTGTGTAATCTCAGGTTCCAAACAGTGTACTTTAAATATTGAGCTTTTAGTGGATTTAGGCAAGTTCTCAAATTGAGAAGTGCCTCGCAGATTAGGGTTGTTTGCCCGAACTGCGTTACAGATCTTTTGTGTTACAACGTCAGTTTCAACATCATTGTGTGCTGCGCTAATATATATTTAATTATCCAACAATTAATAGTTAAAAACTCCAATGTGCAATATAATTCCAAATATTTCGAACAACTGTACAAAAATTTACATAAAATATTTCAAACACACTGTACAAAAAAAGATTACATAAAATTCACAATAACACACTATCCAAACACATTAAAATTTCAAATATTAATGAAAAATTAAAGCGATGGCAGCATTATAATGTATGAAATCCCTTTTGATTTTAATATGTAAAAAATAAAAAAAATTACCTTAAAATTACAATGCTTGGCTGAGGGGCGTCGGGGCGAGGCTGTTGAGCGAAGCCGGAGGACCGTCGTGGCGTCGTGCGTTGCGCAAAACAGGAGAACTGGAGAACCATCGTGCGCCGCGCAGAACCGGAGAACCGTCGAGCAAGAGACTGGAGAACTGAAGAACGTCGTGCGTCACTGAGACCGGAGAAGCAGAACTGCAGTCTGCAGAAGGCTGTGAGAGTGTGATTGCCGCGTAGAACGGTAGAAGTGTAGAACCCAGAACAGGAGGGAATGAATTATGAATGGCAGAAAATCTGGGATTAGGGGGATTAGCCGATTAGGGGATTTAGGGCTATTTTATCAAAAAAAAAAAAAAAAAAAAAAAAAAAAAAAGGTGGGGGGATTTAGCCTTTAGGAGTCTGGTTCACGGAATGACAGATTATCTTAGGGAATGTTAAATTGCTGAGAATGTTAGATTATTGTGTTTGGTTAAAATTGGAGTATGTAATATACTCATGTTTGGTTTAGGGTTATCTTTATTAAATAAAATATTGAACTTGAGAAACAAAATTATTTTATATGCTAACCTAACATAATAAAAATAAAAAATATATAATTACAAAAATAATTATATATATATGTGTGTGTGTAATAAACTAACATAACCAAGGTTATCTTACATAACCTTAGAAATTGAAGGGAATCACATTCCCTTCAAAATCCTATGTGGAGGGAATGTGACATTCCTGGGGAATGTTAGATTCCATGAGATAATGTGAACCAAACATAGGAATGTGAGCTTTGAAATGTTATATTCCCTTGGTTATATTATATAACCTGAATCAAACGCCCCCTTAGGGCGCAAATTATGCTGTGGACTCGTGTCCACAATGCTTTGTAGACACGAATCCAAAACAATGTCGTTTTAAGGGAAAACGGGCGGCCTTTCACTTAAAAGAATTTTTTTGATTTTGTCTCACCGTTACGGTGTTATTCGTTTGTGACATTATGAATGTACAGTTATAGAATTATGAATGTAAGTTATGGAATTATGAACACAGAGCTTTGACATTATGAACATATAGTGATAAAATTATGAACATAGAGCTCTAAAATTGTGAACATAGAGTTTTGAAAATTATGAATTTACAGTTTTTGAATTATGAATGTACAGTTACGGAATTATGAATGTACAGTTATGCAATTATGAATATACAGTTATGGAATTATGAACACAGAGCTCTGACATTATGAACTTACAATTATGAACATATAGTGATAAAATTATGAACATATACTCCTATAACAAAGTGGTCTGAAATTATAATAAAAAAAAAAAAAGTGAAAGATAACGGTGTCACTAACGGTACCGTTACCGTGTCCAGCATGCATGCTGGACACAGGTCCATAGCATAACGATTGTTATGCTTGTGGAAAAGATTTGAATTGAGAACACTTGAGCTGATGTCTTCTCTCATTTCGACCGTTTGGACCTCGGCGCAATCATTATGATGTGAAACCGTGTCCACCTTGCAAAGTGGAAAGTGGACACAGTTCTATATTCATAATTACTGAACTATATATTCATAATTATAAAATTATATATTCATAATTTTTGAACTTCATATTCATAACTATTGAACTTTATATTCACAATTACATAACTCTATGTTCATAATTACTGAATTATATATTCATAATTATAAAGTTATATATTCATAATTTTTGAACTTCATATTCACAATTATTGAATCTCTATATTCATAATTACAGAACTATATGTTCATAATTATGTTCACAGCTCTATGTTCATAATTATAGAACTATATATTCATAATTTTTGAACTATAAATGTGACAACCCAAAATTTTATTTTATAAATTCGGTTTTAAGAAATTCCAAAATAACCATTTTTCACTCTTACAAAATTTTTGGGACAAACACGGTGCTTGAATAAATTATTTTAAGTGACTTTTTAAATAAATTCAACACCGAGAAGTTTTATTTCTAAAATCCTAAATTTTCGGGTACATTGCGTACCAAAGTTTTGAACTGGAATTTATTTTGAGTGAGACCGGGAGAAATCTGAGAAGCCTAAATCAAGTGTTTTACCTAGAAATCATTTTTGAGAAATTCATTTCTAACCCCAAACTATTTTGAATCTTGAATTCTAGCCCTTGGTCCATGATACAAGGTGGAGCCTAAAATTGTATCTTTACACTTCTACCCTCAAACCCTAAGTATAAAGTATAGGTTTCTTCCTTATAGCACTATTCATTTCCACTCAAATCAGCAGAAACCTTTCGTGCTTTCTCTTCCTCTCCCTATCATCTTCATCTCCTTCATTTTAGAGCTTCTACTAGCAAAGCCTAGGTCCAAGACTTGGTAAGGTTTCATCTCTTCTTCTCCATCTTCCTTTGTTGGCTTGTTTTCTAAGATGATGGTTTCTAAGCTTAGATGTATTTTTGGGTTGTTGTGGTTGCTTGAGAGTTGGAGATGGTGGAAGAAGATGAAACTAAGGAGATGAGTTTAGAAATGGTGTTGACTAGAACAAGGATGCTCAAGGTATAACCCATGGATTCCCAAATCTAGTATTTTTGCCCTAAGCTATGTGATTTAGTGATTCATGAGTGAAGATATTTATTTATTAGATGTTTAGAATGGTGAAATGTTTATTGTTGATGCTCAAAATGATGAATTTTGGTGTTGTGATGCTATGAAACTTAGTATGGATTTTTGGTATTTTTATCTGTGTTGTTTGGGTAGAAGCAGAAAATAGCAGAAGCCTCCCCACGGACCCTCCGTGCCCCGTAGTGGCTCACTGGTACGGGGCAACGGATCTACAGGAAGGAAATTCGTCACCCCGTAGTGGCTCACCGGTACGGGGTAACGGATCTACAGGAAGGAAATTCGTCACCCCGTAGTGGCTCACTGGTACGGGGCAACGAATCTACAGGAAGGAAATTCGGGGCAACGAATCTCCCCACGGACCCTCCGTGCCCCATAGTGGCTCACTGGTACGGGGCAACGGATCTACAGGAAGGAAATTTGGGGCAACGGATCTCCCCACGGACCACCGTAGTGGCTCACTGGTACGGGGCAACGGATCTACAGGAAGGAAATTCGTCACCCCGTAGTGGCTCACTGGTACAGGGCAACGGATCTACAGGAAGGAAATTCGTCACCCCACGGACCCTCCGTGCCCCGTAGTGGCTCACTGGTACGGGGCAACGGATCTACAGGAAGGAAATTTGGGGCAACGGATCTCTCCACGGACCCCCGTAGTGGCTCACTGGTACGAGGCAACGGATCTACAGGAAGGAAATTCGTCACCCCCACCCCGTAGTGGCTCACTGGTACAGGGCAACGGATCTACAGGAAGGAAATTCGTCACCCCGTAGTGGCTCACTGGTACGGGCGGGCAACGGATCTACATGAAGGAAATTCGCCACCCCGTAGTGGCTCACTGGTACGGGGCAACGGATCTACAGGAAGGAAATTCACGGATCTACATGAAGGAAATTCGTCACCCCGTAGTGGCTCACCGGTACGGGGCAACGGATCTACAGGAAGGAAATTCGTCACTAAGCCCCGTAGTGGCTCACTAGTTATGGTAGCAGAGTATTAAGCGTGTCATTAAGCCCCGTAGTGGCTCACTAGTTATGGTAGCAGAGTATTAAGCGTGAGGCCTGTGATTGATTCCCAGTGTCGAGAATCCTTTATCAATTTTAATTATGCTTGGTTTTGACTTGGAAAATTGTTTATGGTGGGATTTGAACCCCTAAACCCTTGTTTAATAATCAAAGCCTCTTCTACTTGAGCAACTACAACCTTCAAGAAATTATCTTGGTGTATATATTATATTATTTGGGCTTGAAGGTTTTATTTATATTTAAAAGTATTTTTATAGAAAATCATAAATATGTTGAGAAAGATTTGAATTACCAAAAGCTATGATTTGTCAAGAAAGCTCTATTTCAAGAATTATATATATGAGTATATATATTTTGGGAAATGTTATACTTGATTTTGAGAATATATACATATATAACTATGTATGAGATATATATTTGATCACAAAGATATTTGAAACTTATTCTTTTATTTTCCTAAAACTACTCAGATAGTAACATCGTATATTACCTAAGAGCTTTTGATCTATAAAGTATATAACCCTATGATCCGTGAGTTGCTCCCTGTGCAGTGGCGGGCCCTTGTGGCTCAGCTACGTGTCGTTGCGGACCAGGTGTTATGGGCCCTTGTGGCTTGGTACCTCGGGGCCGTCTTGACGCACGTTTGGGCTTTGATTTCGTTGAATTTGGTTTAGAATTGAGCATGTTATAGTAGAATTTGTGATGGAATGCTTCACATAAATGTTAGTCTGAGTTTTCTGGTTTTGGGATTTGCTTGCCATTGCCTTCCTGTTGATATTTGAGTATTTGAATAGAGAAGCATGAACACTTTGTGAATAAGCGTTGATAGAAAAGCATGAGCCTAAATGTTTTGGTTTTCGCTAGCAAAGCATGCCTAAAGTATTTGCAATAAATTGTTGAAGCTTCACTGCCAGTTTCATAATGTTGAGTATGTTTACTGTGAGTATATTTTTGAGTTCCAATGACATGTTAAATACTTGCTAAGTGTTAGTTGAGGAGATTTGTCAAGTTATGATTTACAAGAATGATTTATTGAATTATTGAGATTTCACAGTGATATATAGAAGTGAAGTATGGTTGTACGGTAATCTTACATTTCGAGCATATCATGTTTTATGAGTGTTGCAAAAATCGGGCCTAGGCGCTAGGCGGTCGGCCACCTAGACGCCGATTAATCGCTCTAGGCACGTCCCCAGGCGCCTAGCGATTTTTTCAACCTTGTGTTTTATAAGCGCATAAATGGCCAACGTGGGCCTAAGTACTATTTTCCAAAATTCATGAGCATGTGGTATGTCATTACCATGTTGAATTGAGAAATTATGTGCATTGTTTGCATGAGCAGAGATTTTGCATATCTTGAGATGCATGGGTGATATATCTATCTATAAATCTATGGTGAGGAAAACAGTTTTTGGAGGACCGTTTGTGTAACGCCCCTGATTTTCAACAACTTTTAAAACCAATTAAAGCTTAAGAAAGAGATAAAGTCTGCTCATTAAGATTAAATTAAGTGGAAGCTAATAAACAAGTACGGGAGATGTTATGCCACACCTACACATCTATAGCTGCACATGCTAAGTCTAACCAAAACGTCATAGTCATACTTATAAAAATCCACGGCTCACAGGCTACATGTCTAGCTAAAACAAGTCACAAGGAGC